GGGGCCATGCTAACCTTCTCTGCATCGTTCCAAAGGACACCCATGGCATGGTTCCTTACTTCGAGCCTCGCTCCACTACCCAGCAGCATTCGAAGTGAATATGAACTGCGTGGCTGCCCAGGTTCAAATATCTTGAATGTAGTGGGACCACAGCGAGGACCATATACAGAGCATATGTTGTTTAGTGGAGCGAGTCCCTTTTTCTTTCTTTCCCGCCCCCCATTTTACTCCATTCCTGTGGTGGACAGCCACACCTGCTGCTGGGTCCCGTGAATTACCAGCGCTCATACCTGCTCACTGATGGGTCCGGCATCGCACCTAATAAGGGTCTCGCCGCACGGCAAAACGAAACGAAAATCAATCGAGTGCATCTGCCGACCAAAAGGGGCAACATACACTCGTTACAATTTATAGGAAACCGATGAACCTGGCCATTTATTGCCTGAAGATACATTCGTTTCGTTTCTCGTTTCGTGTCCCGTGCGGCAACGCCCCTAACAAGGAGAACGCATCTAACTGGTCCAGCGGGTGCACACAACGCATCTAAAGGGGGAACATACACTCGACACAGATGGAAAACTGGTCCAGCGGGTGCACACAACGCATTTAACTGTTCATAAACAGGGAGAGGGCTCAAATCAAGCGACACAGGGCACACGAAACGAAAACGAAACGAGTGCATCTGCCCACGAAAGGTGGCAAAATACACTCGTCACTATTTATAGCAAACCGATGAACCTGGCCATTTTCTGCAGGAAGATGCACTCGTTTCCTTTTTCGTTTCGTGTCCCGTGCGGCGACGCCCACAGTCGTGCTACCGAAAAGGAAAAGAAACGACGATGTCCAACGCGCCCTACGGTAGCTCAGGGACTTGCTATGGTTTCGTTTCTTCCTAACTAGGAAACCGACAAGCGAGGGGGAATCGTCTGGGGTCAGGTGGTCCCATTCGCAAGGATTCTTCTTTCGGGGCCATCGCCAGAAATGAAGAATCTGGGCAAGTGGGACCTGGGCCCTGAAGAGAGGAACCCTTGTGTCAGCAGAGAGAGCACTTATGCTTGACCCGACGGAAATCCCTGTTTTTCAGCCTGTTTTTTTTTTGTTTTGTTTTTTTTGTTGCAAAACCATACAACCATTATATTGTTGAGAGAAGAACACAGTCTCTCAACAGTATATGTTTCAACAATATATGTTCTTCTCTCAACAATGGGCCTCGCTGCAAGACCATACAACCATTACATTGTTGAGAGAAGAACATAGTCTCTCAGAAGAACATAGTCTCTCAACAGTATATGTTTCAACAAAGGGCCTGGCTGCACTACTCTGGACATGCACAAAAGACAAAAATCATGGCGGTGCATCTTGCCATATTCTAGCGGAAGATTCACTCTCGTTTTGCACATTTGGAGAGTAGTGCAGCCAGGCCCAATATATGTTCTTCTCTCAACAATGGGCCTCGCTACAAAACCATACAACCATTATATTGTTGAGAGAAGAACATAGTCTCTCAATAGTCTCTGAACACACACACACAAAAAAATATATATATATATATAGTCTCTCAACAATATATGGTCTTCTCTCAACAATGGGCCTCGCTCCACTACTCTCTCTCGAAAGATACACGGCCTTGATTTTTGTCTTTTGTGCATGTGCAGCGAGGCCCAATATAATGGTTGTACGGTTTTGTACAACCATTATATTGTTGGGAGAAGAACATAGTACAAAAAAAAAAAAAAAAGCCAAACAAAAAAAAAAGAAACCAGCGGCCTAGCTCAGTTGGTTAGGCATGCAAGTGGCATTCAGGAGGTTGTGGGTTCAAGCCCCATGGCCGCACTTAGTGCCAACGGACTGTGATAGTCCTCTGGATACCCCTGATCGGTATTAGCGGGGTCTATGACCAACACGGGTGTGAGTGTGAGCGCGAGTGGGTTGTGTGTGGTGTGTGGGAGAGTGTTGGCCATAGCCTCTGCTGCTACTCGATGAAGGGTGGGGGACGATGAGAAAGGGAGGCACAGCTACTGGCAGGTGTCGGTCTTTGTGTTAGCCAGACCCCCACTGGCGGCCCCAACCCTATACCCTAACCATTAGGGGCAAGGGGCAACATGAAATCTCCCCTTCACAGAGAGAGGAAAACTATGCTTGCAGGGGTCCCCTCTAGATAGTCTTAGGAGTAGGTAGTGGAAGGTAAAACAAACAGAAAGTTGAGAGAAGAATCTAGACAGTTGTGATCACCCCAATATAAAAAATAAAATAAAAATAAATAAAAATAAATAAAAGAAAGAGAGAGAAGAACATAGTATAGTTTTTAATTAAAAAAAACAAGAAAAAGGCCGGGGTCCTCACAGATCAACCCGGGGTTGTCCTGGAGCGCGGTTCCACTAGCAAAGGAGTAAAGTAAACTGTGTCCCACAAACACCTGCGGGACATCTGCCGGATGTCGTCCGAGCACTGATGCAGGAGAATCGGATGGCAGCGAAATTGCCATGGATTTATATTCTGAAGTGGTGTGCTTTTTTTTTTTTGTGTGTGTGTGCTTTTTCTTTTCAGTTCCCAAGAATGGAAGGTGGGAAAAGAAAACAGAAAGACTCAGGGCCTCGCCACACCACTGTCGAAACGAAAAGAGAACAAATGCATCGTCCCGCAGAAAGTGCTAAGATGCATTTTCCTATTCATATCAACAGATGCATCTGACCACTTTTTGGGGAAGATGCACTAGGTTTTTTTTCTCGTTTCGACAGTGGTGTGGCGAGGCCCTCATTTTGATTGGCAGCTCTTCAAAAGATTCAAAAAAAATCAAGTACTCGAAGGGCATGTTTTTTACCGCCTTCTTTTTCCCAGTCAATTGCAACCCCATCGAGTACTTGATTTTTCTCTCAAAATATACGAACTGCACGCTTCAGCATGGCAACCGTCAGAGAAGGGAGTCCCATCAGGCACACGAAGGGACTACCTCGTGGTGGTACGCGTGACTGCAACAGTCACGTACCACTCTGTCCTGATTAGGCATTGGCTGGATGGGGAGGAGGGGGAGGAGACGGGAAGGTTAGTCAGATGGCAACACTTTCAAAAGTCGGCCTCCTTCCCATCTTGGGAAATGTGACGTCGCCATTTATTTATAGTCTTAAAACTTACTTTTCTTTACAGTGCCGCAGAGGTCATGATAGGCCATGACTCGTGTGCTAATGCAACCGTGCTCCTGGGGCCATGTCCCCACTTGCACCATTGAGTTGAGCTAGCTCAACGGTGTGACACTTTTTCTGTCTTCTTTTTCTGTAGAAAACAAGAATGCATTTGTTTGTTTGTTTGTTTTTCCTGCCTACACATTTCTTTGGAGTTTTCGTTTTCTTTCCGGTGGAGCAAATCGATCCGTGTGCCAAGTCCCACGAGCAGCGTTGAGTTTCCTCAACGCCTGAATCTGGACGTGTTCGTGGAGATGTGCAGAAATCGCGTTGGGTTTTCTCAACCGCACACCTCCACAAACACGTCCAGATTCAGGCGTTGAGGAGACTCAATGCTGCTAGTGGGACTTGGCCCCCAACGTTTTCCCCGAAAGGTCGTCGTCTCTCTCTCTCTCTCTCTCTCTCTCTCTCTCTCTCTCTCTCTCTCTCTCTCTCTCTCTCTCTCTCTCTCTCTCTCTCTCTCTCAAGAACATTCCCGTGAATCGCGGATTAAAAAAAGCTAAAGAAAGCCCGGATAACGGATGACCGAAACGTCAACAGTCAACAAAAGATGATAACAACAATGGAAACAGGTAAGTAACATTGAAGAAATACACAACTCCCAAGAAAAAGAAAAAAGATGTGTTGAACTGGCTACAACGCAAAAAAACAAGGCAGCTAGCTCAACGCTAGGATGCGAGGGTAGGAGGCTTTATATTCAAGTTTTTTTAGTTTCTTTGAGGCTATGTTATAAATTAACAAAACAGCGATCGCGTGGCTTTGCAGAAAAATGAAGAACCGATGGATTCTCCTACGATTTTGAATTTCCAAGGTCGCGTTGTGTCCCACGTGATAGAAAGCTCGACGTTGAGTTAACTCAACGGTGCAAGTGGGACATGGCCCTTGGCAGCAGTAGCCAGTTTAGTTTATAAGTCGAGCTCAGGTAGTAATGCTTCAAATCCAATTTCTTGTTGCCCGTTCAGTTTTCCGTTATAGTTATTTTTTAGTTGATTCAACTTTTGTTGGCAGTTGGATTTAAGCAACGTACCGGTCAAGGCGTCCAAAATCTTCAACGTTGTGAGCCCTTGCCTCGTCAGGACTATAAGTCAAGGGTGGCACTTGGTCGAAGGGGAGGGAAGGCGCCTCGTTCAGGTTGTACATCCCGACCAGGTTGCCTTTAGTTCGCCTGATACCGGAAGTTGGTACAGCCTTGGCTCAATGTCACTGAACCCGCAAGGACTCCGCACTACTTCTCCGCGTC